AGGCACCTGGGGGAAGAGCTGCTACTTCTGCTGGTCTTTGAGCTTTGCCTGTCTAAGTCTTTTCAAGCTGGGTTGGCTTCACCTCATCTCACCTTGCCTCCCTGTGCACATTCCCAATTCAGCTGATGAGTTCTGCTGTGTTGGTCCTGAAAAATGAGTTTCTGTGCTCTGAACCATCATGGTGTGGGCTTTTCTGGGTTGCCCTTTTGTTGGTGGCTGCTTTTTTTTTTTTTTTTTTTTTGAAGAGTCTGCAAATAATAGTGGTTGGTGATATGTTGAGGTGTGAGCCATGAAAAAGGCTTGAGGACTTGCATGGCTTAGGAGCGATACATCATCCTGCAGCAGTAGCAGTAAATGTGCAGTGGTATTTAATGAACCAAAGCACCGTGTCATGTTTTGCCTCCAGGACACCACAAGTGAAGATTACATCAACAAGCTGGGCAACCTCCTGGGTGGTGGAGATGGCAGAGATCCTCCTGCCAGTGCAGGGAGGGGAGACAATGCCCTTGCTGGGGACCCGGCGGATGGGAACACCGTGGGCGAGGAGCTGGGCAAGCACGGTGGCCGAGACAAAGGAGGCAGAGTTGGGGAGGCCCAGCAGCTGAACTGGGTGGACCACGAGGATGCGAGTACCCGGGAGGGGAACAGCCTTGGTTTCCTGGTGAGTGAGCGGCGAGGGGCGTTTTTCTCTGCCAGGAAAGCGCACTTAGCACCAAATCTGGTGTCGGTCAGGGTAGCGCTTGGCCTGCGCGGTGAGCAGTGCTGGTAGCGCCTGTGACCTGCAAGCCTTTGCATTCAACTCTGTTTGTCACCACCGCAGGAGGAGGACGCACGTGATGCTGCTGATGGTGACAACGGAGAGCACCACGGCACTGGAGTCAACGGGCTTCCCCCCGGCGCCGGCGGGCTCCTGGACGAGGAGGATGACAGCGGGGACGACACCTTCGATGAGAACGGGGAAGAGGAGGGGGGCGAAGGTCCTACTTACGTGGCTGGTGCCGACAGGGCAGGCGAACACGGCCGTGACGCTGGCCGTGGGGATGCTGGGGCTGGCAGAGGGCACGGCGACAGCAGCAGCAGTAGCAGCAGCGAGAGCATCGGAGCGGATCACTGGCGGTACA